AAATGCTTCAGTTAATACTTTTAATGTCCCATTTCTTCCTAATTCATATGACTGAAGACAATTGGGTGGTGGTGAAAGTATATTTGGAATTTTGTTATATTCTTTTAAATTTATATTATGATATTCTTCAATAATCTTTTGAATAGTGGCGTTCATTCCTTTCTATAAACAACTAAATTTCTTACATTTTTTCATTCATATAAAATTTTTAATTCATTTTTATTTTTTGATTTTCTTTTCTGTTAAAATTGAAACTAAGGTGCAGTTCTTATTTTGTTTCAAAGTAATTTTACTAATCTCTTTCTTTCTCTAGTTTGAAATTAATGATTCAAAAATAACTCATTCTAAAAACATTTCCTTATTGCAATAATTTCTTTAATTCTTTTCTTATTCCTTAATAACACTAACAAAATTCACTCTTTATAAAATCCTTTTCCTTAAAATATTTTGATATAAGTCTGTTTACTTTACTCCTTTATTACTTTTTTAATTGTTTAAAATAATATATAGAAAATATCCAATAACGCCATTAATATTACATTTGTCTCTATGATTGAAAGAAATGCCATTCAGTAAAAAATAAACTTAATCCACAAAAAGTTATTTCTGAAAGATTCAAAAAATATAAGAAATAAAACTATAGCAACTTGTTTTTACCTCATCCAATTTTGAAAAAAAAACTATACTAGGCTAAAAAAAACCTTGAAAATTTAGAAAAACTGTTGATAAACTTAACAACAAAGAATAACCTTTATGTTAAATAGAAAAATTAAATTCAACAAAGTCATTGACTTTATAAACATAGTCTATACTCTACTACCACAAAAATAATGTTATTATTATTTTCTATTTCAACATAAAAATTTTAATATATCTGTTAGTGTTTTAACTCTCATACTAAATAGTTCCTTTATTCTCTTTATTCTTTTATACAACCTATGAAATTATTGGATTACTTTGATATAATATTACTCTTTAATTTCAATGAGACTATAAAAAGATAAAAAAGTAAAATAACTCAATTTTCTTATTTTAAATTTTTATGACATTAAATTTTTTTTTTAGTTAGACTTTTTTCTCTCTATTTGTTCTATATTCAGTCTATCTTTTTGTAGTTATCTTCTTATAATTTTCTTATGAACAATGTTAGTTAAAATATCCTTTAATTTCATTAAACTACTAATAAATTTACTCAAAATTTTGACTCATTTTAAAGTATGTAAAAATGTCAAAACCAGTTTAAATACAAAAAACTAAATGAATTTTTATTAATTTAAATGTGACAATATCAAAATATATTATTGTAAACCCACTGTAAAACACTATATCTCTAACAAAGTTATTTCTTTTTGATTCAAGATAATCAATTCATTTTTGTATAAACCATAAATCAATGAATTAAAAAAAATGAGTATTATTTCTTCAATTGTTTATTTAATTAATAAAATTAGTGGCTCTTGACTATTTTAGATTAAAGAAGATACATCAAACTAAAGTCAAACTAAAAAAGAAGTAAATATTCTAAAGCAATTTTTATACAATTATTCAAATAACAGAAATGTAACTAATTCAGTAAAAAAAGCTTAATCACTCTTAATATATTTAGTTTGTTTTAGAAACTAATATATATTCTTATACTTTTAAATCTTTTTGTTTTGTTAATAATACTCTAACTTATTTTTTTTTATTTTGTCATATTTTACATTGAAAAAGAATGAAAGAATCTATAACTACCATATGGTGTTTAGAGTAAAAAGAAAAAGATAAATTATATAGACTTATAAGTATTAAATAATATATGTATTGTGTTTTAAAAAATTATGGTCTAATAAAATTACAATCTGTTTTTTTTTCACTTTCTTAAACTACCATATAATTTTATAAATATTATCTTAATGAATGGTTTCTACAAGCATAAAATAAAAATAGAAATTTAAATTACTGAATTTAGACTATCATAATAAATATTTATATAACTTTTATAATTAAATAAATTTATAGAAGTATTATTTTTAAATAACCATTATTAACTTATCATAATTGATTTTCATATTTCAATATTTTAAAATAATAAAATACTATTTGCAATATGCATTTTCTTTGAATTAAAAAATAAAAATCCTTAATTTTCTTCTCTAAAAATAATAAAACTTACTTTGACATTACTAGATTCAAGACTCGTGTGTATTTTTTTGTAAAAAAAGACTCAAAACTAACAAAAGACAATTGTTAAGATTATCAAATTCAGTTTTTCTATTTTCTATATCATCAAATACAGTATTTTATACCAAATTTTTTATGTATAAATAGTTATTATAGGATATTACTTTGATGAAACAAAATACAAAATTTATATTTATAAAACAACAGGATAAACGAATTAAAAATTACTATTTTATTGTTATTAATAACAAAAATTTGATAGTTAAGAAGCACAAAAATTAATTTCCAAAGACAGATTCTCTGTAAACAATGAAATAAAGATACCCATCTTCTTCTTGATACATAGCATAAAGTGAACCAATAGTATCTTCATTTGATGGTTGAATAGCTTTACTTGGTGTTTGAATTTTAACAGAAACAGTTGAAATTGGAGTTTCACCATCAGTTTCAATGTATTTATCAACTAAAACTTTAACAAAGTCACTAATCTTTGAACCTTCAGGAATAAAGAATCTATCTTTCTTTAAATTAATAGCACTAGAAGTTCCATCACTTTCAACAACAAGTGGAACATAATTTGGTTTCTTTTGTCTTAATTGAATAGCAAATGCTTTACGTTCTTCAAAAGAAACTCGTTGTTTAAAAGGAAGTTTTGGTTGGTTTATTGGAAAAGTTGGATCCATTAAAGTCTATTTTATAATTATTTAGTTCTATTAAAAAACAAAATTCTTTTAAAAAAAATTAAAAAACAAAAAAAAAAGAAATTTGTTATTATTACATTTTTATTTCATTTAACTTGATTATTTAATTTGATTATTTAATTTGATTATTTAATATTTAAGTTTCTCAACACAATAACTATTTAATAAAACCTTTAAATTTGATTAACAAATCATTAGTTTGTCTTATCGACTAATGTTATAGTTTAAATTAAGTATGTTTTACATATATATTTTTCTATAACCGAAGAATAATTGATATATAATTTAAAAAAAAGCTTTAACCACCAACCATTAGATCATTTAAATAAGTGTTTTTATTAATTAATGAACAACTTTAATCTTGGAGTTATTTTCAAAATTTAAATTTTCTCAACTTCTTGTTAATTGAAAAATATTTTTATAAGAGAGAAAAGTCAAAAAAATAATAAACTTTTATCTACTAAACAATTCTTTAAAGATGGGAGGAACTAAATCAAAACCCATAAGTTTGTCTCTGTTTATTCCTTTAATATTTTATATGTTTCTTAAATTAACTATTCTTAGATTATAACAATGTTAAATTATCTACTGATACTGTAGATTTAACAGTTGCTGCCCCAAACACAGTGTTTTCAATTATTAATGATGAAGACGCTAAAATCAAATATGTTATAGACAATTATACAACTAATGACTATTCAATAGTTTATTCTCCTGCAAAAGGAGTATTATCTCCTCGTTCAAGGAAAGAAGTTAAAGTACTTGTTACTTTTAAACAAAAAGTAAATGTTAATTTACCTGTCACCATTCATATAGCTGATAAGGCTGAAACTTTCTTTTCTCTTAGGTTGAGAGGTGAAGATGGTGTTTTTGGTGTGGATCCTACTAACTTAGAATGGATAGAAACAGGAGAATATAAATTACCAAAACCTCTTGCTATATTAAATAATAATTTTCAACGACTTGATGGATTTCATAGTGAAGGTGTTTTTCGGTTAGCTGGTCAAGCTGGATTAATGAAAACTATGAAAAGTTATATGAACTCACATAAAGGAGATCTTGAAGTTCAAGAAGAATTTACAATTAATGAAGTAGCAAATTTAATTAAGTTATGGTTTAGAGAATTACCAACATTATTACTTAATGGACTTACGTCTACACAAATTCAAATGAGTGGTGTAGATGATTGTTGGAAACAATATTGTACTTTGTCTCAACAATCTCGAGATTTATTAGATTGGCTATTCTCATTACTTGTTCATGTCTCTCTTTTCAAAGACCAAAATAAAATGACTTTACAAAATTTGGCAATTGTCGTTGCTCCTAATTTATATGAATCTACTTCTTCAGATCCAATGGAAGGTCTGATGATGTCTCAAAAAGCAGTACAATTCGTTCAAAATATTTTAACTCATTTTGCAGAAACATCCTCAAACAACTGAGGTGTTATTACTTTTGTCGTTGACTATTTACTATCAGTTGGTGTAATTATGAAAGGTTGTTGAGTTATTTTTTTGAAATTTTTCTTGTTAATAAATTTTAAATGAATTTTTCTTTTGAATCTAATTTTTAATTTATTCTCTAAATTCCGCTGTACAAATCCTCTGAAAAATTAAATTTATTCTAATCAAAAACTATTTTTTCTAATCTTTAAGAAAATCTGGTTTTCTTTTCCATTTTCCAAAAGAAAAAAAGTCACATTCTTTCTGTGGATAAAAGTATGTTTGGTTGTACTAATCTTTTGGAACTTCACTTACAAAAAAATCAAAAAACAATTCGTTCCTTTTAATATTATTTTTTTTTTCCTTTCTTTCAAATAAAAACATCAAAAAAAAGTATCAAAATTTAGAATAAAAAAAATAAAACCTTTCATAACTCAACAAATAATCAACAATCTTTATTAAAAGAAAATAAGTGAGAAGAAAAAATAAATAAAAAGAAAAGAGAATAAAAGTTAATATACAATAGACTTCAGTAAGAGAAAATAATAAAGAGAAGATACAAAAGAAGAGAATATCATCAATAAGAGAAATAAGATTTAATATAAAGAAAGGTGAAAGAAAGATAAGATAAAAAAGAAAAAATGAAGAAAGAAAATAAAAGAATAGTTTTTTAAGAATGAACTAATAAAATATAATGGAAATAAAGGAAAAGAATAATAAACAAGAAGGAATAATTACATTTCATCGAGATACAATGAATGAATTATTTATATCAGAAGACAAATATTTATTATGTTGTATAAAATTACATCCAATGATACGATTTATTTTCTTTATTATATCATTTTTAATAGGATTAACGGCATTATTATTAACACTTCCATTAACAGGATTATATGTTGAATATCCAGTAATATTAGGGATGGTATATATTATTTCAAAACTATTATTATATAGTTCATTACTTTTTATTGCATCACCATGGAAACAATTAATATTAATTTGTAGACCAGTTAGATTTAGTACATTAGCATTTTGTATTATAGGTATTGTAGGAATATGGTTAAATATATTTCATATTATAAATAGTTTATTACTATTAATTTTATCTATTCTTTTA